TTATGATTAAATTGTTTCGGGTTTGGGATCGATTCGTGCCTTGCGAATGAAAGCATAGTCGAGCAACTTAGGAATAATTGCTCGAGAATTAGATTTTACATTCTATGAGTTCCTCATTTTGTGGTATCTTACTCAAATGTTCTTCGTCGCTGTTGTCACTTGTGATTTGTACGTCTGTAAAACGAAATGAATTCCATTTGAACTGTGGACATTAATTCAACAAAGATGTATCGCTTTCAGATTGTGCAATTGAATGGCTTTGTCATTGATACCATTCATACAACAACGATGTAACACTGTGAATTTTTTTATGCGAAGTAAGTGATGATGCAATGAGAGAGAATTTGTTATCGTTGAACTCATTCCATTTTATAATGATTTCGAATTGTTAACCATCGGACTTGTCCCGTTAATAATTTTGATAGCTGCTTAATCAGTATCATTTGAATATGAACAACAAACAACGCTTCGATGTGGTGCAGTCGGTGCATTTGCAAAACATTCAGGAACCGGTCCAGAGTTATGGAAAACAATAACAGCGGTCAGTAAGTCAGGTCAGAAGAAAGGACGTCGTGCCACTCGTCAACCGATTCGGAACTTGGATCGTTTCTATCGAATCGGATCAGGTGCGTGCGATTCATCGGTCACGGGCGATCCCCTATTCATCATTGGCTTCATATCACTTAAACTCCCACTGATTTGAAATTCAACGTCCAAAATGATTCGCAAATTCCGTAAAAACTCCAAACAAATGTGTCAATGAATTACTCTGTTCAAGGTCCGATGAAGGTGCAGTTTGCCGGTTTGAACGCACCTGTACAGATGAAGAAAGATGCCATCGAATTGGTTGAACAAAGTGAAGAGGAACAAAAGGAAGCCAGAGAGAAAGTGAAAAAAATTCTAGAGGAAAAACCAACAAGCGCGTCAGTTATTTGATTCGATTCGATTCAGTTCTAGTTGGCTGAATGATTGATTGTTCAGTTGTGTTTTCTTGAGCAACGTTATAAGACAATTCAGAAGGAAACCATGCCAGTGTTCTATCGTAGAACAACTGAAACGACTGAATTGATCTCATAGCATTTCTTGTATGATGTCGGACGTGAAATTCCGCAAAAATTTCATTGGTTTGAGATGTAATTTGGGTGAGAATTAGAAGTTTATCAGAACGGCGAAGAATACTGTTTCTACAATTCAGAAGTAAACGGCGATTCCGCGAAAAGCTCCATCCGTTGGAACGTGGCTTCTCAGGAACACAGCTCGTTGGACAAAAACTTGGACCGCCGCCTCCCGTAGGCGAAGTGAACTTCGACGATTTCCAAACGTATTGTCTTGAGGTTAAAACAACAACAATAATAATTATATAATATGAATGGTGAAACTCAAGCTAGCTTCGAGTTTAATTGGAGGTGAAACGAACGTCAAATATGACTCGAATCTTCGGTCGAGTGCACACGATGAGTGCACTGATTGTGATGGGCAATGGTCGAGGTCTAGCGGGTTATGCGGTCGGCAAGGCCGCAATCCATCGCACCAATAATGCGATTGTGAATGCAATGAAGATGGCGTCGAGGAAGTTGTTCTTCGTTGAGCTGTTGGAAGGAAGAACGATCTATCAGGACTTTTATGCGGAATGCCGAAATACGAGAATATTCGCACAAAGAAGACCGGCCGGATTTGGACTGGTTTGTCATCCGAGACTGGTGAAAATTTGTGAGGTCAGTTGTCGAATTTCCACTCGGATCTGTTTGTTGAGTGTTTGTCTCAACGAAATTCAGTTCGGTTTCAATCATTCGCGATGGTATTGAGCGTGCATCTTAATTTGTTTGAAGGCGATTGGTATCAAAGATCTGTACGCAAAAGTTGAGGGTTCAACGAAGAATTATTTGGCGCTAACACACGCTTTCGTTACTGGTAATTCAACAGTTGCATCATTTTTGTGGAGTTGTTTCTAATGAGTTTCCGATTTGCACAATTCGACAGTCTCGAATGGNTTCGTTGCATGACTGTTGAGCTTCCCACAATTTCAATGAATTGAGGAAGATATGATTGCATGGAATCCATGCGATTTCTATGAGTTTGTGATGTTTCAGAGGCTAAAATTGGATGATTTCTACGGAGAAGGTCGGTATGCGTTGCGGAAGCAGAAATCTTTCCCATTCTGGGTGGATACACCTGGTCATAAGGAAGCACAATGGAGGAAGCATCCGTTCAGAAATCAAGAACAAGTATTATACTTTGTGCTTATAGAGTTTGATTTTTGAAATTCATAAAGTATTGCCAGCAACGATATGACTGATGGTAATATTAAGGATGTGAATAATATTAACAATGTCAGTGAACTGTTATCATTTATTGAGTAGCCGTTATATTGGCGTGGCCACCGTTATTATTATTATTTTAGGTTCGTTGTAATAGGTGAAAAAAATATGTTGAAGCAAATAAGATGGTCATAATAACAATAGTAATACAATTATGAATGTGTTGAATTAACCTATCATTTTTCTAGGCCATGATAAGACTTTTGGCCGACGGTGTTGTTGAACGATGGACACGTGATCAGCGATTGCAGTGGAGTAACGCAAAAAATGAGGCCGTCATGAACGGTTTGTTACCGATTCCAAAGGGGATCGGTCTTTCGGATGTGGTTCCAGAACCCGAGAAATAAATGTTTTGTGAATGCAATTGAATGAGATTGTGAATGCATTGCTTGAAATCGCTGTATTGTATTAACGTAATTGATTAATTTCAAATAAAATGAATAGAAATATTCAATTGAATTGATACTGTACATAATGCATTGTGAACTGATTTATTACAATTTCAATGAGACTACGCGTGGGATTATGAAAAATAGACGTTTATCGAGTGTGTGGGAGATTAAGCAGGAATTGTTGGGTGGAGGAGAACGGTCACAACATGCAAAATCGAACAACAAGTAAGTGCCACGTGGAAGTGAGTGTGGCCCTGTGGCGCAATGGATAACGCGTCGGTCTACGGAACCGAAGATTGTAGGTTCGAATCCTACCAGGGTCGAAATGTTTTGCCTAATCAAATGAAAAAGTGAGAAATGCAAAGATGGTTATAGTTTTATAGTAAACGAACGGCATTGCGGTATCAGATTGAAATTTCTGGTGAGTTGAATGAGAAATCGATTGGGTCGTTAGCTTTGTGACAAACCTGATTGATTTTGTGATAAACCTGATTGATTTTGTGAAAAACCTGATTGATTCAGAAATAGTGTTCTTATTACGAGCAGATTTAGTGTGAATGCAAATTTGAAGTCATTTAAGGTCTTGACATTCCCAAAACGTTTTGTAGATGAAAGTTGATTACGTTTTGAGTTTAACACATGATTAGTGTCTGACATATGATGGATGTTAAAGTACTCATTATTCAACACTGACGTTTCGGCCGATAAAGCCGTAGACACAACGAAAAGTTATCGAATCCTCAGTCCTCGCTCTTAATTACTGATCTTTCCGACTATGGATTCATGAACCTAGACACTGATGTTGAATAAATATTTAGCACTATATCTTAGACGCTAATCATTCATGATATAAGAGCTTGTGCTGTTTCGAATGGAAATTCTACGAATATAAAAGCTTATTTGAAGTTTGCATGGAAGATATCAGAGTGACGATTTGTGTGCTTGGCAGCAAGCACTTAATGAGTATCTTCATTACCCACTGCACCGAAATTCAGTCTTCACAATGAGAAGCAGTTGTTTTGAGAAGTATTGTTTGTGCGCAAAAGCAGATGGTTCGAGAGGGATGCAATTAATGAATCATTAGAGAAAAGAATCGGCAATTTGTCATCAGAAACGAATTTGAACTGATTTGGTTGATACGAATGAAGAAGCTCTTCATTTGTTGGTCACACTTCGTAAACGATGGAGAATGTTTATTGATGAATTTAAGGAGTTGATAACTGCTAATCAGAAATAATGATTCACTCATTAGTTCAACAATTGCTGTCATATGCAATAAGCATTAAGTAGAACAAACGTGCTTAGTTCAGGATCAAGTGACGATCAAGCAATGATATAGATCTATGCAAAGCCTGATTTAGGCTTATTCAGGATTTAACCGATGCATCATGGCACGATTGGTCTGTCTGACATCATAAGTTCATAATGAAAATCACAACAATGCAATAAAAATAGAGAAGATACCATAACCAAATCTTTTCAGTTATGAATTTCTAGTACACAACAGAAGAAATTCATTGCTGAGTCATATTGAGTTACAAGTGTAGCAGAGAAAATGCTCGATATCCTATCTCAATCCTTTATGATTCAGCCACTGGACTGATAATAGAGCAACGTGCATGACACTTATTGAAGAATTATGTTTGAAATATTGTATGAAGATAATCATGTTGAAATTAGTGTTGTTTTTAGTTGCAATTCAGTTGTGTGTCGATTGAAGAGTGTGACATTGTGGCAAAAACAAAAACCGGTTAATGCGCAACGATTCCATCTGTTGATTAGAACCAATTATTGAATGTTTTCATCCTATTGATGTTGTTGATACTCCGGCATCTCACACCTATGAATTTCCAGCAGTTTGCGTGTCCATTCAGCTATTGGTTGATGCGTTCCGTTGTTATCATTTTGAAAATTTCACGTTGTTCTTACTGATATTTCACGAAGATGCGAATTTTAGATAGTGACGACGAAAATTTTAAAACCTCAAACGATCCTCGATAATCAGAGTTTTGGAGGACTTTTGAATTACCAGATCAATTACTGTAATTGTTTTGACGCAAATCAACCTCTTGCAATCATTTTGTTTCGCTGATCAACCTCTTGCAATCATTTTGTACTACAGTACAACTGTGTTGCAACTGTTTGAACCTGATGACTTACTGTTTCATACAAGAGAATGTTTTACCTGATATACGCCCCAATTGATGTTAATCGCTAAGTTTGTTTCAGTGCGGGGATGAAATCAGTTGTGCTCTTAGCGTTGTTGTGCTGCGTGGCGTTGAATGGTGTTTCTGGACTTAGCTTAATTGGACGAACGCAAAGTGCAGGAGTGAAAGGCATTTTGATGTGTAACAATAAACCAGCAAGTAAAGTCAAAGTGAAACTGTACGATGATGACAGAGGTAACAACGATAACTTGTTTCTCAATGCTATTGCAAAATGAAATTTATTGCAAAATCAAATCCACAAAACGATCGTTTAAAGCAGAAAATTGTAATTGACATAAGGACGGAAAAAATCAATGAAAATAACCGCTGATTTGAGCAAAACTTCTGACTTTATTGGATGATTGGATCTTTACGGATTCAGTGGATTACTGACTGGAAGGGGTATTTCAGGAATCGACACGGATGATTTGCTAGCTCAAGGGAAAACAGATTCAAGGGGATATTTTGAGCTTCAAGGATACACAAAAGAGATCACAACAATTGATCCTAAAGTGAACATTTACCACGATTGCGATGACTATCTGGTAAGGATTGGTTCTGTTAATGCTTATTGAACTCTTCCTCGTTTCCATTCATTTGGAATCGTCAATAGTTATATGGGTCCATTGACTATATCAGTACAAACAAAATATTTTTAACCATTTTGGATCAATGCGTTCAGCAGAGCAGAATTTTCATTACCATAGTTCAGCATATGACTACGAAGTTATGAAGAT